TATAATTAGATGTGTTTAAGAAAGCTCATTTAACAGATCATCTGGATGTGGATTCTTTAAACTTGGGACTCCTGCATGGGCCCTAAACTACTAGTCGTCTGACATTTGAAAGTCTACAGCACTAACCTGGAACCAAAAGGCCTGGCGTATCCAAACAGTGTGTAAGCATGTACGTAACCCGATACACTCTCTACTAATTTCTGAAAAATATGAATGTCTTCGGTGTAAATGCCTGTCCACACTATGTTATGCTATGTTAAATGCGACATGTATAGATTTGTCACATCAAAAATTGGTAGTGTGGACAGAACTTAACAATTTGACTGTCCAGTGGCACATCCAGGAATTCAATATAGAGGGGACCAGGAGAGGGTCTAGACCACCTCAGTATTACCATGCAGAATGTAGCTTGGCTCCGTCAGCTAAACTGGCGGTAGCCACTGCATGTGCGCTCAACTGCGGAGATCTCTAGGTCGTCGGTACAATTCCCATCACTGTTGTGCTGTGCCGGAGGGCTGAAATACAAGATATGATAACACACTGTATTTCGGATGAGACGTTTAAGTAGTTGGTCCAGTATGCTATGGCCCATCGGGATTGTTTATCGGTGTACTGCCCAATTCCCACATGACTATGTGCAGAAACAGCTTCAATTTGAATAGAGTTTTCTTTTTTTCTTCCAAAAATTTACTTGAAACCACTCACTGTATGCTGACAATTACAAATGAACTGTAACTTGCGTTACTGGTGGATCATTGAGTATTCTTATAGAAAGAAAAAAACAATGCTTACTATTGACTTAGACTTTCATTGGTATATATAATATTAAGTTTGTTAATACTAGGAACATTTAATGTGGAACAGAAATAATTTTTTAAAAATGTTTACCTTCAATGGTACTGCTGAGCCAAATGTACTTCTGTAGTTGGCTGCCTCCTCCCTAGAAATTTCACACACCTATAATAAACAATGATAATAGACGGATCAATAAAAATATAACTATATACAAAACTGTAATATTCAATATATTTTCAATATTATTATCTGAACAACATTCAGGGGAGGATCAAGAGATGTCCAAAAAGGGGGGTCCCCCCTTTCGACCGAGAGACAACAATACTTTAGAGGGTCCAGGGAATGCCTCCACAAAATTTTGGTTTTCTAGACAACCGTAAATAACCTCTGAAGCATTTTGGGCTATCAATAATTTTTTTTTTTTTTTAACTTTCCAAAAAAAAGGAGGGGGGGGGCGCACTCTCCTCCACTAAATTTTCCTCTGAACGTTCTTGTTTTTTAATTATACATCGGTTCTATTCGTCCAATTATCCAATATCTTAAAAAATATCTAGAATTTAATACTACTACTCAGCAACCCCCTTTTCAAATCCTGGATATGCCATGGATATGTGTATAACAAAACATGTGTATACAGATTTTTATACTGGATAATGATATAGATAATAAAAACACTTTCAGTGACTGGAAAGTGTTTCTATTACTTTTTGCTGTAAAATTATAGGCAAACATATATTAAATAAACAAATTTCTATGTTGATCATTTTTATGTTACCAGTACTTCAAAATGTGCAAGTTAATTTTCGAACATTTTTAATGATATTTTTCGGTATTTTTCATGGGACAATACATCCTTAAAAATGTAATCTGGTTGTATTTGTATATTGCTTTAACACAATCGATAGATCGTCCCAAGGTGCTTAACGTAAAAATAAGAAATAAGAGATTGATTTGTAATGATATAAAAAAGGATGCATTTCAATTGACTCTTGAAAACACCCACTGAGGTGGCTGACGAATGGACTCGGGTAAGCTGTTTCATAGTTTTGGAGCTGCAACTGTAAAGGCTCGCTCACCGTATGCCTTAAGGCGTCTGGGAGGGACGAACAAAACCGATGTACTGACAGTCGATCTAAGGGATCTAGCGGAGGTTGAAGATATCCATTTGATGAGATCAGAAATGTATGTTGGTGATTGATTGTTAAACAAATGATTAGTATCGTTTTCAAAAATGATGCACTGCTTGATTGGAAACCAGTGTAAGAACAGGTGGGATGTGATCAAATCCGTAAGTAAAAGATACAAGACAAACTGCAGTGTTTAACAAATAACAAACCTGACGAGCGTCTGATAGAAGTCCAGCGACAGCCTGCAAGGAACGAAAAATATAGAATTTTAGGTTGCAATAGATCATGCTGAATATTGACACCGTTGAAAAATAAACACAAAAAAAAAAATAGCTACCAACAAAAGAGAACAAAAAAGGAAATTTTAAATATCACAAAACAAATCCACTAAATAAGAATCTACTTACCATTCCTATATGCCTGTCTACGTTAAAGATCCTTTGATTTGCTCCAGATTCATAAAGTTTTGACTTGACCAACTTTTCCACAGCAAATACAACGCCATCCTTACAACGTAGTCCAACAGCAGTGCCGCTGTTTTCTACTGCTTTGATGGCATATTCTACTTGGAATATTCGACCGTCGGGTGAAAACTGGGAAGCTGAGAGATCATACTACAAAAAAGGAATCTATAATCATTCTTTTATTCTTAACTCTTTTAATATCATAACTACATTAAAACATAAATTTTGTGTACCAATTGGTACCATGCTGTAAAGTTTTTTAAGTGTGCAGATGATACCTCAAAAACCGGCTCAAATTTAAGCAGAAAATCGCTGGGAAAACAGAGGTGTGCAGAAATTACTGTATATTATAATACATTTTAATGTGGCAAAGACAAGCCAAACCAGTCACTCGTCGCAAATCCTGTTTCAGAGATAATGGCCAAAACATGCTGGAATGTCAACATTTTTTAAATCTATTTTATTTCACTAAACTAAACTTTATGTATCTATACATCATGATCATGCTATGATGTTATTTTCCCAATTTTCAATGTTAATTTTTAATGATTTGGTGATGGTTTCTGCCTGAAAAAAGCCTAAAAAAATTATAAATTTTGAAGGTTGATTTCTCAAATATTGTTTTTAAACTGCTGTAATATAGCTAAGCTAGGCGTCCTAACTAGCTTTCCTCTCTTATTCTCTGTCAGAGTCTAGAGACTCTGCCAATCAATGTTGTTGTATGTACTGAGCTGCAAAGCCTAAAGGGCCTCTCAGGCTACCATGACTATAAGTATAATAATCTAGGCCTCACCCATTCATTAAAGCTCTTCGTCGACCTGGCTAGTTAGGCCGAATAGTCTCGGGTAGGCCTAGCCTAGGCCTAGAGTATAGTAGTAGAGAGAGAGAGAGAGAGCACCGTTCAGCACGGGCCCTTCCTTCCCTAGTAGTGTGAGCTGACCGGGCAAAATGTCCTCCTAGCCGCCTACTCATCATATTCATTCATCATATAGGCCTGCCTAGGCTTAATAAAAGAACGAGTGGCAAGTTTTAAACTTCCAAGATAATATTTTTCACTGTATTCGTACGCACTAAACGTCCTTTAATAACTACCTCAGAAGATACTTACACCTGTTCCGATAGAGCTCATTTTTACGTGTTTGACAACAACAGAATACTGCACATTCACGTTTTGAGGGCTACCGTATGACCTATGACCTCCCAGATCGCACACGGCCAAAGAAGCGAGTAGTAAAAGCTATTAAAGTACTAAAATGTACATTTGATTATATGATAAACTATTAAAATATACCTATAATTTTTTATTTAAATCAATATATCTGTATATATTTATCTATAACATAAAATCAAAAAAAAAATTCAGTAAAATACACTAAATAAAATAACGCGCCCTCTACATGTACAACATTAATCTTCCCAAAAAGAGATTTCTCCGCCGACGCGACTAGTGCTCCCGATGCTGTAATCAATTTATCTCCTATTATGAGGAGGGATTTAATAAAAAGATATCTTTCTTTAAGCTTGAGATCTCCTATTTACCATACATTAAATATGTTTTGCATTGTTGATAATATATTTTCCGAGTTATCGTTAATGCACTTAGAAGGAATTACATTTATTCATAGAGCGTGACTATTTTATTTTATTTTACCGGTATGTATTTATTTATATCATTGTAATGTTGGAATCTTTATTCATTCCTGATGATGATCTAATAAAAGATCTAAATATTGAATCAAAATGACTAGTCTCACTTTATTTGGAGTATGTTTTATTTTATTTAAGGTGAATATTTAATAGTTCTTCTGTCTGATAAGTCGCACAATTTCAGTGGACATTGTTCCTGTCTCTTATACACATCTAGAGCTGGGTGAATACCCACTTATACCCAGTAGCACCGCCACTGGAGATAAGTGAAACGCCTATGATTTGGAACGATTTACTTTTTAGATCAGATCTAGCAAAAGTACAAATTGTAGGCTACGCGTTGTCACGACGGAAATATTAATAGACAAATCTCTGCAAAAACTTTCACAACAACATCGGAAAATCAATATTATATTGACAAAGATTTTGTCGCCTTCGTTAGTGCCGATAATAATTCTCTTTAGAAATTTTGAGGATTTTATTCACTACGATTAATATTGATTTTGGATTTACGTAGTTAGTTTCAATTTTCAACATTGCCTTTGCTAACATACTCAAGCGATAATTATTGTATTTTTGGAACTTGCTATTTTAAAATGATTTGTTAATATCCTGTTATATTCTTAAGTTCCTAAACATTTTTTATCTTTTTTTTTTATTTTTATTTTTTTAATTATTCAGTTGTTTTCTCTTCCGGGTGTTTTCTCTTTTGTTTTATGGTGTTTTGTTTTTTGTTTTTTATTTTATTTTTTTGCGTCTCACTTCAGGTTTTGGTCAGTTAACAGTTGTTAAATAGGCATTATGATAATAACCCTTATTCAATATTAAACAAGACATTTAAAATTTAATGTTATTGTTAAATAACACGGAAAGTAATAGATTTGTAACAAAATATTAAATAACTGGTGTTCCGGCTTCTAGGCCCTATTGGTTTTTCTTCCCTCACTACAATGTACGTAACGCTCATTCGAATTCGCTAAACGGGTCAAAAACAATCACCGGCACTGGTAGTGAATTGTGGGTCTGGAACTTTCAATAGACGACGGAACCTTCAACAACAACAACTAAGTATTATCTTTCATCTTATAATCCACATTATTGCTACTTCATTTGACGATTGTACAAAAAATGTATTTTATCTTATATTCTTCGATGATTGTACATTTGGCCTACAATTTAGGCCTCTTTTATTATGAATACCGATTTTTTTTAATGACGATTGCAGGCCTACATTTAAAATGTTTATAGTAATATAACAATTTCAAATTAGAATAATAATAATATCGAATATTTTTAATATTGTAATTGAATTGTTTTGTATTGTATTGTCTTTGTTGGCACGGGTTGGGTTATGCTCATCACTTTTGCCTTTCCTTTGCACCCCTTGTTCAAACTTTGTTGTCGTTTCTTGTCAAAAGATTGAAAATAGATAAATAAGTAAATAAAAATAGAAGTGATTGAATAGCTTAGCAGATAACATTTCTTCCTTCCATCTCACGGGTCTAGAATGGAAAGCAGGTCACACTGGGTCTTATTTTCGTTAAGGGCGATAAAAATATGGAGATTTTGGAGATTTCGCAATACGAACACGGTAATGAATACGAATACGTCATCTTCATTATTGTCATCCGTGCTTAAAACATTCTTGACATATACAAGCTGAATAAGATCATTGATTGATAATGGATCGCCTTCGTTGTAACAAGAATGCTACTGGAATAGATTGACTACAAATCTGATGAGTTAGCCTAATCGTATTCGTTTTCGTAAGTTGCGAAACCTCCCTAATCGTGTGTTGAAACAGCAAAGCTGCCGATTAACTATGGATTAAGTTTCGAAGGGTGGATCACCTTTCGTAGGGGAGGGGAGGGGTAAAAATCCAGGTGACATCAGCTGTGTTTAGATGATATACCTTACGAAGCCATTGCCATTTGGCCTGAAATGCAAAATTAGAGCTCAACTTTGATATTCGAGTTTCTTTGTGTCTTTTCGGAAAATCAGATAGGCCTAGGCCTACATGATGTTGAAGCGAATATAGTCTAGGAATATTACGATCCTATGCCAAGATAGTAAATAAAACATCATAAACACATTTATTTAAGGTGAATATTTAATAGTTCTTCTGTCTGACAAGTCGCACAATTTCAGTGGACATTGTTCTGTTTAAAAAAAAAATCTCTTGAATTAGGATGATATATTATGTCTATTGGGTATAGAAAAATACCATAAACTATTCAAATCTCAAATTAAGGAACCAGCTGTCATACATTATATATTTTTGTATTAAAAGGGCGTCGCGAGGCTTATCATAGTTTATCTAAATAATCATATGATCTAAAACGTCATGGTACACTAAACTAGGTGCACCGACATTACTTTCCTATTTCCCAGAACCAAAAGTGACATTAATAGCGATATCAGTCACGTGATATCGCTATTAATGTCAATTTAACAGCGATATCAGTCACGTGAAGGCCACGTAGAAATGCTACAATAGATTATATTTATCCAGTTTAACCAATATAAGCAAAAAATAGCCCATTACCAATGAACGATAAATTTAGTTTAATAATTTTAGCGATGACATAAGATCTTCCTTCCAAATTGATTAAAATCTTCCTTAAAATGAGCGTGTTGTCCGATGAATACACATTTTCACAAGCAGGTAAAGACAACTTATCCACCGACGTTATAATTATTATTTTTAAATAATTTCTTCCGTTTACATAATTTCTTCCGTTTACCGAGTGTAGCATACAAATGCATAGTGTTAAATAATAGCTTGAATATGGGATATACATAAAAGTTTTCTGTGGTGACATGGTCTTCATGAAGATAAACACCAAACTGCGCATGCGTTGTTTGATGAAAATTCTATTCAATTATATCATTATTAATATTGATTTCTTCTCCGTCGTCTGGATTCTGTAAAACAAAAGCATAGAAAAACAGTTTGTTATCAGTTTTAAATTGAGCAAAACACTACAAAAGTGAGTTAAAGTTATACTATAATTACAACAAATATTTGAAAATAATAGTACCATGTGTGCACACAACAATTTCAGAATACTGTAGATAAGTGAGTAGCGCTCATTTCAATACATAACATTATATGAGATAGTTTTTTCAATAATAGTCAAAAATGTTGTAAATAATATCTCTAATAAATTATCTAAAACAATGGTGTTTATATTCCATAGAACCTTTCAAAATAGGTTGGATTTCTCTGTATTTAATTCATTTTTTAATTCTTTGAATATGTCATCTCTAATCCTTTGTAGTTCATTATATTGAAGTATGAAATGGTCAATTGTTTCTATTTTTATTGTCATTGCATATTTTGCACATGCCCAGTATTTTCGTGTGACCATGATTGTTTTCTACCTTCGAGAGTTCCAATGAACTTACCACATTAAGTATCAGAGTAGCTGATTACAAAATCATTCTACCTGCTGTTCAGTGGCGTATCAAAAGGGGTGCGCGGGGAGGGGGAGGAACACACCCCCTTAAAATTACTCGCGCTCCCCAGTCGACCCCCCAGAAATCACGGTCAAGTAGTTAAAAATAAAAAATCACCTTATTTTGCGAATTAGTGCATCTCAATTGATCATCAAGCCACCCCGCCCCCCATTAGCACCCCCAAGACTTCTAGATTCGCCACTGCTGTTAATGGGAGAGTGATTGGGATATCATAGCAGGTGGCGTAGAGGCCTAATTCACTAAGGCTTTTTGGGATTTACTACTGGGACAGATTGCTTAGGGTCCTTGTGTGCACGGTACGGACGAATCCCCCTTCCGCTTCTCATGCAATTTTTTAATGCTTTCTGCTCCCAAGGATTCCCATCTGGTGGATTTGGGGCCCAGGGCCCTGACAAAAACAAATACCCAAATTAATTTCCCAGACCACTTGTGGTTCAGGGCAAACAACAACAACCAGGCAAGTGTGGAATCCTGATAAATGCTATAGTAGGTATTGGAATTTCGCAACTCTGAACTTCATTTTAGGCAGGCCCGTCGAGGCAATACTTAATTTCCTGTATTGGATGGTGTGAACATACCAATAGGGACTGTCTTTATGCCATGGTCTTTTCAATCTTCTTGTATGCATGCGAAAAATGGACACCAACAGCTGAACTTCAACGAAGAATACAAGCACTCGAAATGAGATGCTACAGAACAATTTTAGGCATCACCTACCTAGACTGCATCACCAACTTAGCAATCAGACAAGGGACAGGCCCATTTTGAAGACCTCATGATCATCGTGAAAAAGAGGAAATTGAAATGGTATGGCCATGTAACCTGAGCCAAGACCCCGCATTGGCGGATCTGATGGGGTCAGGGGGATGTGATGGGGTGTGGGGGGTCCTGATCCCCTTAAAAAAAGAATCTAGACCTACCTTTTCAGGACCCGTGAGCTGATTTTTTTTTTATTTATTTATTTATTTTTTTTTTTTTCACAATGGGAAAATTTGAAGTCGGGAAAGCTCATTTCCCGCAATCTAAGAATCAAAAGAATCAAAATTTTTCCGGTGGAAGACCCTCGACCCCACTTCCTTTTTGGAGTAAAAAAAAGAATACGTATGCAACTACTAATTTTTTTTTTCTTTGTATACCCGTAAACACATAATAAGCCTATTATTTACTGTAATTAAGAATGAAAAAAAAAATTACCTGACCGTTTACAAAAGGGGGAAACCTTCAATTTTGAAGAAAGGGGGAAACCTTCAATTTTGAAGAAATTAAGTCATTAAAAGACACTTTAGAAGTCAGGAAAACTCATTTTTTATTCATTTATTCATAATGGTATATTTATTAATAAAATCATCTTCACAGAAAAACTGAATTGCGATAACCTTTTACATAAAATCAATTAAGCGCAACAATAAAAATGTTAAAAGGGGTAAAAAGATACAATAAAAAACCAACATTGAAAATCAACATTAAAAGCACAAATCACATCATAGGCAAAATATCAAAAGCAACAAAGCATTTCTCGCCATCTAGGAATCAAAATTTTCCAGGAGGAGAGCCCCGGAACCCCACCCCAATCTATTTGGGGTTCATCGATTCATGGAAAAAAATACGTATGCAACGAATCAATTTTGTTATGTATTGTATATACACACATAATAAGTCTACTATAGTATTTACTGTACAGTAGGCTTAATAAGAATGAGAAATTTTACCTAACCGTTTTCAAGAGGGGGAAAACCTTCGAATTTAAAGAACTTAAAAGTCATTAAGAGACACCTCTTAATGAAAGCTTATTTTCCACCATCAAACCGGCCCTCCTTTATTTTTGAGGTTTTTGTGAAAAAATGTGACCCCCCTACCCCTTAATGTGAACCCATCCGCCCCTGAAGACCCTGTCCACGACCATCCTACCACCCCAGGCAGCAGAAGAAGAGTCAGACGGAGGAAGAAGTGGGCAGAGAACATCCTTGAATTGACTGGGAAATCCTTCTCAGATGGTGGCACGTGACCGAGAATCATGGAAGGAGCTGGTCAGATACACGGGACCAGTAATGTAACGTTAATATAATGAATATAGTGAAACTCACCAGTACAATGTTACTACCGTCACTCTCGCACTTCTTGTTTTCATGATTGCATTCATATCCTGGGCAACAGTGTTCATACTCAATACATTCCTCGTTGGAACTTTGGTTGCATACCGGTACATCTGCTGCATCTATAGCGGCCTCTTCAGTTTCAGGTTCCACGGCGGCGGCGTCATCAGCTGCTGTGTCATCATCAGCCGCTGCTGCTGTGTCATCATCAGCCGCTACTGCTGTGTCAGCATCAGCCGCTGCTGCTGTGTCATCATCAGCCGGTGCTGCTGTGTCAACATCAGCCGCTGCTGCTGTGTCAGCATCAGCCGCTGCTGCTGCTGCGTCGTCAGTACCCTCCTCTTGCGACACAACACACTGCTGCAGTATCTGGCGATTAATAATAATAATAATAATAATAATAATAATAATGGATGATGATATGTTGATAATGACGTGGTGGTAGGCGTATTAAAAAAAAAATTCCGTAACGTCTTAACTTAAACGTATACTGTACTACTTGTCCTGACCTTACACAATTGAAAAATTCAGTTTCGAGGTATTTGAATGGGCCTTTCCGATTTGGCCCGCCCCATGGATATTGCTGCTAAAGCCGGGCACTCACTGGGCCCAACAGTCGGCCGCTATTAGAGAGCTTTCGAATTACGCGACGACGCGATGCCAGAACGTAATCACTCATGCGTGACCGTCCTACCTGGCGTCCTACGTTCTCTCGATACGTAGATTTGGCCAAATTGCGTTCCAGACGAGGCGACCTTAACGTTCTCGTATGCGCAGATGACTTTTAGTGACGTCATTACGTTCTACGTCCTACCGTCGTCGTGCAATCGAAAGCTTCCTTATTATTCTATGCAGAATGCAACACGACGACGCGCGCACACCGGATCGTTTTTATTGACGATCTGTTCATCAGGCTGGCACGGACAATCAGCAGACGGCGTCGCGTCGTCTAGCGCTCACAGGGAGCGGAATTGGATTCGTCGTGCAACGGTTGTAAGACGCAGTGAGTGCCCAGCTTAAGGTCCCACAAAAAGATAGCGTAGGCCTAAACGACGTACTAAGAACGTGGGTTTGTGGGACGCGTGTGTTTGTAATGCGAGCGCGTAATATTAGCGATAATCTGATTGGTCAGTTGTTAAGTTTGATTGACACTCCGGAAATGTTCATTGCCTATGATTTCAATATTGAACTAAGCATTTACCTTTTAAAAAAGTTAATGAGTTAAAAGATAATGAGTTAATTAGCTCAGTCGGCTAATCTGGTGGTAGCCACTGTGTGTGCGCTGAACCGCGGATCTCTAGGTCCCCGGTTCAATTCCCATCGCTGCCTCTGCTTGTGCTTCAGCTAGAGGGCTGAAATACAAGTTACATAGCGCACCGTCTTTCGGATGAGACGTTTAAGCCGTTGGTCCCGTGTGCATTTATGGCCCATGTGCACGTTAAAGAACACAGTACACTCTTCGGAAAATAGTAGGGGATTGTCTCCCGGTGTACTCCCTAGTCACCACCAGAAGGACCCCACTGGAAATAAGTCTTCTTCTAGACTTTCGTGGGCTATCCTTGGTGTTTACACCGAATAAATCCAATCCAATGAGAAACATTATCAATGTCAGTTTTACAATGATACCTTTTCTGTATTCAACATCTAGGCCTAGCCTAAATTGTTTTCCTTCTTCTTCAAGGTTTTCCGATTTTCTTTGGCAGACTACAATTTTAGTTTCATGTTGAAACAATACGAAGAATCGCAGAAAGCAGACATGATTGGAGAAAAGCAACCCTAAGACATACGCAAAGCAGCCGACTGACGTCTTCTAATTAAAAAAAACCCGATCAATTTGGTCTGTTAATTACCAAAACACGGGAGCCAAATTATGCTGCATGTTATGGACAAACCCAACATTAGACAAACGTTATTTACGGCCGACGCAGTAGGTTCATTATACGGGGCGCCGTTTTGCTATTTATGTTTTAAAAAAGGCACTCTCTTTTTACAGAAATAATTATGTGTACAACAGAATTATATCTGTAGAACATTAACAAAATTAATTCTGTGTTAATTTTGTGTTAAGCTTGGTTTCCATATAATCGCTACACAGTCGCTCCGCTTTCACTACAATTCTTGCACTGCGTAGCTGTCCCGACGCAATCGGACACGCTCTTTGATTCAACCGACCAATCAGCGTCGCCAAAGGAGTCGGCGATAGCGTGTAGCGATTTTTTTTTTTTTTTTTTTTTTTTTTTTTTTTTTTTTTTTTTTTTTTTTTTTTTTATGGACACCAAGCTTGAAAAGAAATAATTATGTACCACAGAATTGTTATTGCTGCTGGATGTGCCAAATCTGAAAAATGTTTTACACAAAATGCCGGGCACTCACTGCGTCCAACTCCAACTCCACTCCATGTAGCGCTAGACGACGCGACGCCGTCTGCTGATTTTCGGTGGCAGTTTGAAAAACGGATCGTCATTAAAGCTCGGTGTCCATAGAATCGTTCACCCTATCGTCGACAGTCGCCGACAGCTGTCGGGAATGATGTACCTGGTTCAACTTTGCCGATTGCGTTGCAGACGAATCAGGGTTCATTGCCAGCTGCCCTGACGCAATCGGGAAAGGCACCCCGATCGGCAAAGTTGAACCAGGTTCAACCGTCAGAGTGAGCGATTCTATAGGAACCGATCTTAAAAGTATCCGTTGCGCGCGCGCGCGTCGTGGTGTTGCGATCACCATAGAATCGGGTCGGGTCGACGACGTCGGGCGTAATGAGTGCCCGGCTTTAACATAAACTAAATATCAGATCAACTGGTTACTTATGTAGATTGATGACGTTGGGTGGTACTTACCAAAAACAGGAGACCAATTCCAAGTAACTTCTTTACGATTTTCATTGTACTCAGAAGTATCACCAGTTATAGGATGTAGCAACGTTCCTGTTCTCTCACCAACACTAGAATGAATCAAATTATTCGAATCGGATTTTGAAATGAATAGCATTTATCGAATACATGAAATCAGGCAAAAACAAAAGGCACATATTATAATGACGGAGAATCGATATTTCAGTTAAGTCTAAAACAATTAAATTTGAGTTAATCTAGGATGGATAAAGTTATGATCAATAGTAAACAATAATCGACAAAATCGAAAGCTGAGTATAATGGTTATTTTTTTTTTATTGGACATCTGTTCGTCGTGCCATTGCGCCTTATTGCGCATGTCATACGTTCGACACCGATTATATTGCAGAGACAGATCTCTATTCGTATGTGATAATTTATTGTGAATAACTATAGCTTATAATTTATATTAAAAATTATAGTAGTAATGTTATGACTATTCTTATTAATATTATAGAGTAATATATTCTTATTAGTATCATTATTAGGCCTATTATCATCATTATTTCTATTAATTAATATTTGTTGTTATTATCATCATGATTATTATTTTTATTACTATATTATTACTAGTATTACTATATATGATGATGATTATTATTATTATTATCATTATTGTTATTTTTATTATTATTATTATTAATAATAATAATAATAATATTCCTAGTATAATAATACGGTAATAGCAAGTAGTCAGAGGCGTATCCAGATTTTAAAGGAAAGATAGGCGAGAATGCTAATAATATCACGTTACCGTAAATGCTCGAATAAGCGCCTCGGCGCTTATAACATTTTTGGAAGCTTCAGTGCGGTGCTTATTAAAAGAATATTGGCGTGGCGCTTTCCATTGTTCCTATGTTACCTGTCTCACGTATTCCCATTAGTTCGGTAGTCCTATCATCTATATCATCGTAAATAAACGTTTATAAAGATATGCTTGTGTCTTCATTTGAGTGTTTTCCCCGCCGCTTGTGCGTGTCAATAACGCGCCACGTACAAACTCATCTTCTCCCTTTCTTAAAGGACGTTTCTCTAGAAGTCTTTATTCACGTTTAAGTCTGCGAGTGCCATTTCCGGCCATCTAGAGGTGCAATAATCATACATTTTCTTACGTGTTATAGACCCCCCAGTGGTGGATTCAAGGGGGGGGGGGCGATCCGACCCGGGCGGGCCTCCATGAATTTTTGAAAGTAGTAAAGAAAATGGAGAAAAAACATATAGTAGTTCATAATCAAATTTAGTCTCAGAGCTCCATTTCCGGCTGCCATAATCATAAATTTTCTTTTCCTAAACTCAGACCATGGCGGGGTCGCGGCCGGCTGAGGTGGGTGGACCCGGGCGTCTATATCTGTGAAAGTCCCTCACTGGACACCTCCCCTCCCACTATTTCGAATTTCTGAATCCTAAACGGCCCTCATATATTGAAGTCCCTCCCTGGCCCGTGGTAGGTGGACGTATTCGCTTCAAAACAACAACAAAGGGATTTATTTCTTTCCCTACCCTATTCCCAATCAGATCAGTATAGGCTTATTTTATGAATTCTCAATTTTATATATTTTTGACGTCTACCCATCTCATCGACAAGGGAGACGAATTGCAAAATTAATTCTTGGGCCGTAGGCCCAAACCTGTACAGGGGAAAGGGGGCGTCCGGCGTCTATAGCCTTTTGTAAGTCGTAGCTATTTAATTTTAAGGAATACAATTATCATTTATTTCCACACTAGGCCTACATTTTTAAAATTCATTGGCGAATCCAGGAATTCGAAACTATAGAGGGGGCCCAGGGAAGGAATTTTACAAATGGAGACCAAGACCTCAGCCCCATCATGGTTGGGGCTGAGGTAAAACAAATTATGATTATGGCATCTCTAGTTGGCCGGAAATTGCACTCTCACATTAAAATTTGAATATAATTTTCTCTTTTATCCTGTTCTAATTGTGAAAAAAAGATGGGCCGGCTGGGACACTGAATCTGCCAAATTCTCCCAGTGATGATTTTGATGGAACATAGGCTACATCATAATTCTTTATAATAATAATTCTTTAGCTATAGAATCATCAAAAATAAACACTGCTATATTATGGGGGACTTTAATGTTGATCTTTTGAAGTTTCACAAACATAATCCAACCAATAGTTATCTTCAAGCATTGGAACAATCTCCCATCCAACATTGTTGAAGCAACTACTGTAACTATATTTAAAAAGCGACTGGACCAACATTGGTAGACTGTGTTCCAGTCCCTAAACTTTGTCTTAATCAGTAAAAAAGCTGGAAATCGATTTTGGCACCAATGGCGTTCCATTATTACCTATTTGCTTGGCGTTTCATAGTATACTTTTTCTTGGTGGATTTACTCTGTGCGGCTGTTGTACCGTTAAAAAAAGCCGACGGGAACCAATGAAGAGGGTAAAATACATGGTGGCAGCATAGACTTTCTAGTTTTTTTACTAGGCACATCATCAACAAAACTGTAAACTGTGTTTATAAAGTTTGTCTGTAAAATATTGCAATAAACTGTATCTCGCACTAGGTTACGCTCTACCTGTCTTTTCTTATTATATGTAGGTAGGTGCTTATTAGATACTTTTCTAATACCTTATATTATTATAACTTAGGCCTAGACCTAGCCTACTAGCCTACCTGGGGCCGGGCCAGACCGGCAAAGCCAGTGGTGTAGGCCTAGGCTAGGCTTAGGCCAGAGCTAGGACATTTAGGCCTAGCCTAGGCCTTCGGGGGCTAGGATACACGAACGGTCAAGTGTAGGGCCGCCTAGCCTAAAGGCCTGGTTTTGCCAAATCTTAATTGAGAGTATATGTTACCCTGTGTGTAATGAGTCTTATATTCAATAATGGGTACAGAATACAATTATAATAAATTTAGGCCTAGGGCCTAGGCCTAGGGGCCTAGTAACACAATACAATGAAGATGCATGCACTTCTTTATAAACGTTTATTTACGATGAGGTAGGAACTATGATAGGCCTACCGAACTTCAGGAATAAGTGAAATAGTAACACGGGCACAGGCAAAAATTTGAGTTTCAAATAAAAAAAGAAATTTTTATTTTTGGCCAATTAGTGCACCTGCTGCCACGAAAAAATGGAAATTTCAGGAAATAGAAGTTTTAAAAATTTTTTTATTACACACGCCACTGCCTTGAAATCTTCTAAAAATAAGATAAATATATTTCTTCCTAATTATATCAATTTAAGGCATTTAAACATACCATTACTACACGGTTTACATTCACCAATAAAATTTTATTTTTATTTTGTCCTCCATCTGGGTGTTTTTTTGCAGGACTATTTGCTAAATGAGAAAATTAAATTGTATTTTTATTTTTTTCCACCCTCGTCTGATGATCTATAAAAAAATAGTTCGTGAAACAAGGTATAAAAAATGTTTCCCCTTTAATAAAAAAAAAAAATGGAAAAGTAAGACGAAGAAAAAAAAACTAGTCAGGGCTTAAAACAAAAAACTAATTTCACCTGTAGGAATCCATATACACTTGGTATTCCAGGTGTCATGAGGACTGTGGCTCTAGAGTTTATTAACTAAAAAAATTCAGTAAAAATAATTTAATTAATTTTGTTTTTTAGAATTGATTCCTGATGTAAGTGTTCGTTTACATAACAACCAGCCTCTGAAGATCATGTCCTCAAAGACAGTTGTCTGCCCGCACTGTGGGGGAACCGATGTGGATGTTGATCAAGCACGTGGTAATGCAGTCTGTGAAACTTGTGGTTCTGTTTTAGAGGATAACATTATTGTGTCTGAAGTGAATTTTGCAGAGAACAGTCTTGGTGGGACATCTGTGATTGGACAGTTTGTGTCCTCAGAAGGTAAGCAGGGGTGATTTAGGGAGGGGGACATACCCCTTGCCACTGCCATCTTTTTTATTTATTTTTTTATTTTTTGGCTTTGATGAGGAGCTCTAAGAGTACTCAGCTGATTGGTTATATTAAGATCTTTTTTGGTCATGGGTTAATAGGTCTTTCTTGTATGAACGGCCGTTAGGGCGAATATGCTCTACTGCCTCTATTATACTGCCCTCATTGGAACTTTCGAAATTGCAAGACCTTGTTGTAAATCTGTACTGGTGCATAGAGAGAGCTGTATTATGTGCCTTATAAATCCATTGATTGATTGGTTGAAATACTGTACTAAATGTTACAATATTTCAGCAAATACTAAACATGAATCATACTATTATATATTATTGGATACTTATTTATGAATTTTTATCTGTATAATTATATTACATCAGGTCTATGAAATTTGTGTCTCCTTCTTGATCCGCCCCTGGGTAAGAAATTTTGGTAATGGTAACGTTTTTTCTGCAATCAAGATCACAGAGGCCCCAAGTGCTCTTCAAGTCTCAGGAGTCTCCCGGAAATCTGGATGGCTTCCCGCACTCTCGCAAGCAAGCAAAAATCTCCTGGAAAATAACCCATCTCCTACAAATTCATAATATTTGCATGTTTTTACTGTACTGTACAATCAATTGTCTCGCAGAATTCAGTCCTGATGGGTATCACCATACACTGTGAAATAAAATTCAGTGTGTTAAAAAAGCTCATTCAACCAGATATCCCTGACCTCGAGGTGGGGAACCAAACCATTTATGCTGCACCAAACCATTTCTACGATGTAATGTCAATCTAAACTGAATGCCTTTTTTTCTTTTATTGCAGGTGGAAAATCATATACTCTAGGGGGCAGTTTTCATCATGGATTTGGAAAAGAATCAAGAGCAATCACTTTGCAGAATGGCAAGTATTAGATAGAATGTATTTATTTATTTATTAAGAAACAAGACTCATTTTAATATTTATTTGATCAATTAATGAATGAATGAATCAATCAATCAATCAATCATTCTTTCATTTTATGTATTAACTTGTTTATTTATATAATTTTATTTAAACAATCCATTCATTCATCCACTCATTTATCCATCATTCATTCATTTTTTTCATTGCTTGGTTAATTTATCAATAGTTCAGTCATTAATTTATTCATGTTGTTTATTCATTTGATAATTATTCATTCAAATTATTTATTTATGTTATTTTTATAATATTTATTTAGTCATTCAGTATTAATTATTCATTTGTATTCATTATTTATGTAATTTCAAATACTCTACATAATTACATTTACTGTATAATATATTCTTTGCAAATAAAGACCCTAATGGTGGTTAATCAATTCATAGTGATACCTCGAAGAGACAACAAGTAAAAAAAAAATCATATTTTTCCAATTTTTTTTTCTTTTCAATTTTTATTATTTATACCAAACTGTACATTTTCACCAAATTGTTAATGGGTAAAACTCATTATTTATGTAATTATTAAATTATGTAAACTAATTAGCCAGACCACACAAATCAAGGAAAATGGATTTTGCATTTTCATGTACAGGCTAATAGTCTCCTGAGTGTTCTCAGAGGATGCACTTGCGGTTTAGCAAGCGTCGTGATCAGCTATTTAAAAGTCTAGCTGTATTTTAGTGCTAGAGAAAAGATCAAATTGCTTAAACTTTCCTAGGCATGGCAGTACATTTCTTGTAGTTCAACTTGGAGTAGGCCTTTAAACATGTATTAAATGTGGAACTATTAATAAAAACAATGGTTAAAAAATAATGGTTTAACCAGGATAACCTTAGTTTGTAGGCCTACAATCACCCTCGACTGCAATGGAAAAAACTATTAACTAAAAAGCAGTTTGTGTCAACTGAGCGCGTACAGTGTGTAACATGAGATCTGCCTTTTCACAAAAATACAACAAACCTCTCTGTGCGTGTAAACAACCTATACCGAGTTTATTTCCGAGTTTTTTTTAAAATTTGAATTAGTCAATGCTTTAGTATTTTCAGATTTTGATACCTTGATGGCAAACTGTAAGGTTTTATAAAGTAGGCTGCTACAAATTTTCTGGAAACGTTCTAGTCGAAATTTACTTTGGCAAGCCAATGTTCTAATTCTATGTTTTAGGTTTTTGTGTTTTTACCATATATACTGTACGTTGTCATTAATTTAGCATTTTCTTTTCAGGCAAAAGAAAAATTCAACAACTTGGAGGTCAACTGAAACTTAATACGCATTGTATTGACACTGCTTACAATTTTTTTAAAATGGCAGTCTCCAAGAAACTTACCAGAGGTCGTAAAACAACGCATATTGTTGCCGCCTGCCTCTACCTTGTTTGCCGTACAGAAGGAACACCACGTATCCTTTAACAATATCGGTGTTGTCTGGATAAAATTCTGCAGCCCTATTGTTCAATTCACAATGTGGCACTCGACTCATGGTGAGTTGAGTGCCCGAGCAGTCAGGCAGGGGTGCCACTAGCTACAGCCTTAACATCGGCGCTGGTTCTAGCCGCTCCTCGTGTTTGGTTCAGTTGGTAGAACCAAGTCTTCTCAGAAAAGGACTTAAAATGGGGATCCAGTGTATACATCTGGCTCGAGTGCACTTTAAAGAACCCATTGCATCTTTCGGAAAAGTAGGGGGTTACCCCGATGTTATGGTTCATTTCAGCCCCTGTTGTTGTGGAATGATGCGAACATGTAGCTACCATGAAGAGCCACTTTACGGCTGCTAGGTAGTCACAGACCACGCCCAAATGCAATTCAGCACAATGACGCTGCATGTACGGGTTAATTCTCCTACCCTCTACCCCTCATCTACACAAGTTAATTTGAACAACAATTAAATGTTACATTCACCTAGGTGCATTTTAATGATTCATGGTATGAAACAAATTTATATTCTATCAATTTGAAAAAAACTGAAAATCTCCTGGAAATGTTTGAAATTTGATTTCTGCTGAACTTTTAAAAGTATGACATGTGTATACAGTGGTGTATTTTGGGGATGTGCATTTCAGGCCGACAAGCAAATCTTAGTTCCACCACCATTGATTTGATGATAGAGTAGAGCATTGTCCAACTTTTAACATGGAAAATTAATTTGTTAACATAATATGTCTAAAGCTTGCTGCATACAAGCTATTTGCTTACACTAAGTCATTCGGGGTACTTAGCCCAAGCACAGAGCTCTCGTGTGTGGTGGTCTTTCAAACAACTTTTAGCATTCGTTGCATCAAGCCAAACATCAATCATTTTGATAATTTCAACCACGAATGGCAATGTCTTACCATGTGCAGATATGTGTATGTTTGTCCTGTGAAAGGTATTGTCACCTATTAATAGGACAGTGATGTAGATTATTCACCTTTGGCAATTTGGCAAATGTGTGTGTCTAATACATAAAAAAAAAAAATGAGGGAAAAAATAGTATATCTGTAACTGCATATAGAAACTTGTTACCTTAACTGCACATTTTTTTTCAGATATGCTGCTCGATTTCAGTGATCTGTTACAGGTAAGTTGTAACCATAGCGATAAACTTGCATTTCTGTACTTGTTTAAAAACTAATTTAATTTTACTAGTTGATTATATATATTGCGTGTATGTAAAGACAAAATATTGGGAAATAATTTATAGTTGAGCATTTATCAAAATTCCAGGTCCAGGAGATTTATCAAAAAAAAAAAAATTCAAACCAAATGATTTTTCATTTACAAGATAAACTTGTTAAGAGCACTGAAAACTAATACTCCACATTCAATGGCGACACCTTTTGGTTCAGACCCCTCTTCCGTCTTTTTAGACTCCTTGTTTTACCCTTTGTTGGGCCCCTTGTCAGCAAATTCCTAGTGCCTTGGAAGAATAAGAATCTTAATCACCAAGCTTCAGCTCATTTTTTTTTATTTTACTATATTATGTGTGGCAAAGACAAGCCAAACCAGTTACTCGTCGCAAAAATCAATTTTTAGTTATTATTACACGGTTAAACAGAGAAAATGAGAGCTATAAAATGGTAAAAAAAAATCATTAAAAAATCCAACATTTTGTTATGAAGTTACAATAATTTAAACATACAGCTGTTAAAAGAAAAATCAGCCTTTAATGTTTATGATTTTTTGCATTTCTCAGACAGAAACCACCACCAGATCTTTAACATTGAAAATGGGGAAAATAACAGCATATCATGATATATAGATATAAAGATTAGTTTAGTGTAATAAAAAAGATTTCAATAGTTTTGAGATTCCAACATGTTTTGGCCATTATATCTGAAACAGGATTTGCAAAGGGTGATTGGTTTGGCTTGGCTTTGCCACATATAAAGATTGAATATTTTGAAATTTAAATTTAACCAGAAAAAAAATTGGTATACTAATATACGTCTTGGCCTTAAATGTACAAAGTTGTTGCTGTGATGTTATTTAAAAAAAATTAATTATCATTTCTTTTAATGGTATTACAACCCAAGTCAGTATACTAAGTTGTCTCGTGGCCCAGTTTGTAGAGTTGGTGGCCATTGATTAGAGGGTATTGGTTTCAAATCCTGCTAGAAACAATACATTTTTTTTTTTTTTAAAGCATAATTGCCTTTGTATATGATAATTTTGAACCTGTTATTTTTCTGGAACAGGTAAATGTCTACACCCTGGGTAAAGTGTACCTGAAGCTATCCCAGGAACTTCACATCAATGTTGCTGCCATCGGTGAGTTTTGTCTCTAATTTAACATTCTGAATTGCCAATACAAATTCTATGTTCCTTGTTCCGATTTAACATAGCGTAAACATATCCACTCATAAAGTAGCATATTAAATTTATAATTTATACAGTAGCTTGATAAGTGGCCTGCTGTGGTGAAGAAATGCAGTGGCAGATCCAGTAATTTGAAATAGAAGGGGCCCAGGGTTTTTCAAACATTTTCAATGGGGGATAAGCTTTTGGTGGGATGTGCACCACCCACGCATCTCCTAGACATGCCACTGGATACAGTATGCGCCACTGAACAGTTCAGTATTCCCCTTTAAAAAGTATCTGAACAACTCCATTCCTTCTAAGCGTCTTATGCCTGGCACTCTCTGTGCCCGACGCGATTCTATGAGGAAGGCAACACGTTCGACGCGTGCGCAACAGATCGTTTTTTATGATAATCTGTTCAGGCTGGGTTCACACTGTGCCACCGGCTTCACGTAGTCTAGCGCTCACAAAGTGGAGTTGAATTTGTTGTGATTTGTCGTCAGTTTGAGGTCTGTAAGTTGCCTGCCATTAATTGTTTTTTTTTCACTTTCCTGTGTGTCAATTTTAAATGGTTGTAACACAGAAATGTGGACTGGGAACCTTTGCAGGGAAGTGTCACTCTCAGTATAACCTGACAGTCACTGAGGTGACCCTTTGCAACAACAGTCCGGTTATATTCGCTGTCATTCTTTGGGCATCGAGTCAATAGTTTCCTGCCCCTTTCTTACATGACTAATTGCTTGTCAGGATTAACATTATGTTTACCAATAAGCCATCTTGTAGTTTCACTTGCACATATGCATTTCAAATGTAAAGAAATATAAACAACAGTGAACACAATTTGTTACAAATCAGATACAATTGCACACAGAATGAACATTATCTCCATTAATTTCATACATTCGCACAGTTAGGCTACTAGATTATTTGTGTCTTGATTTTTGAGTGTTTATATTTTGACCTTTGACACTTAAAAATTATGAAACAGCCTATTCATGAATAATATCAATACATAAAGAAAAGGCAGTTCTTATAAACCTATGTTGACTGCTGGATCCATTTATATTTAATAATGTTTATTACAAGCACACATATCAAAACCACTCTGAAAGAGGATCTGGTCAAAATAAAATAATTAAAATCACACTTGACAGAAAGTTAGACTAATTCTTACAATCATGGGTGATTTCATTCCATTAAACTTGTCATTGCGAATACATTTTTCACGATCTACGTATATAATAACTTAAAATTCTATATTTTTTGCATTTAAAATTACTAGCAGCAGAAATTAAATAATGACTTAATGCATGTAAAAATGACTTTTTACAGATAAAATTTTTTTTTTGTTGCAAAATTTGCATGCAAATTGGCATTTAATGCTGGTCTAAAGTAGTGCATGGATCTACTGTATTTCCTAAAATAATTATATTAACTCACAATTCCACATTAAAATAAACACCAAGTATTACATTACTGAACGATAACAGATCTACTGTACCCTCTTTCCATCCATCAAATTAGCACCATGTTTCGCATTATTCCATAGAAAATCAACCTGTTTTCCCCAAAAAATATTATGGGAGGCATTGCCCTACTGTAATATGTTCATAAAATATTATATACAGTGTACAGAAAATATAGAAATAATTTCAAAGGCATATTAAAATTACAAATACAGTTACAATAAAAGGTTATTAATTGCCTTTGAGCACAGGTAAAATTATATAATTTACATTACATTTAGTAATTACTGTAGTAAATTTAAAAACTTATAAATAATAATAATAATAATAATAATGATCACTCAATGAAAAAAGTCTTAACTGCCTTTTGATTTAAATTTCATAATTTACGTTTAGTTACCATCTTAGCAGGAATATACTAACTGGTAAAAACTATTTTTACTATTATGTCCTGTAATGTACACTAGGACCTGAGGTTAAGTGTGCTGTTTCTATGTTCACTGTACTGTATTTTACTTTTGTTACTGTATATGTTTTATTTGTTATGAAGGACCTCTTTGAGTCAGCCTTGCAAAAAAAAAAAAAAAAAAATTGTTGTAAATTGTTGTACCTGCATTTACAGTTATACTATTTGCGAAGTACATGGGAGAAAGATGGATTATGCCAACTAAAAAAATATTACAACAGTTAATGAGAAAGCTGCTGCTTTTAATTTATAATGCATCAATGCTGTTGATTTCTACATTTATTTTACAAGACTATAAAATACTTAAGGCAGTTTAAGCATGTTGACTGCCAACTATAAATGTAATCCTATTACATGGCATTGCTGCATGTGCTACTGTCAGCTTGTAAAGGTGCATTCACACCAAATCCAAATTTTTGGATCGGAAATCATACCGAAGTGATCACAAAAATCGGATCAGTATGTAAGAATAGGAACGCTGGCATTCAGCGCATCGGAAGCGCAGTCCAAACTTAGGTTCGGATCTGATGTGAATGCAGCTTAAACCTGCTTTATTTACAGTAATGTAATATGCTGGCCTCCCCTCAGTTCACCAAGTACTTCATACAGCTCTGTACACAATATCAGTGTCTGTGATTTGCATGTTATTTGGGTGTGATATGGCATCATCATGCCCATATATGGGGTGTGATATGCCATCATCTGGCCTGCCCATATATGGGGTGTGATATGGCATCATCTGGTCTGCCCATATATGGGGCTTGCCATCAGTGACGAAATGAAAATTGTTTTTTTTTTTTTTTTTTAATATACAGTTAAACTTGCCTACGTCGAATCCAAAATGACATTGAAAATTTGTTTGACTTAGATAAAATTTAACTTACAGATTATTAATTAATGGAAAACACAAAAATTTGCCATGTAAATAACATCGACGTTGACTTAGGCAAGTTTAAATTTTGTATTCTTATTTAAAATGAAGGGTCATTTACTGGAATTTACTTACTATTGCCAAAGTTATGAGTAAAAGTATTATGGCTTTTCTGTACAATACTGCCACAATCTTATGCTAATTACTCAGTTTAAAAATTAGCAACAGTACACTGGTTTTGGGATGGCAAGCCCCCACGGATGTGATATATACTGTATATGGGAAAATCAGATTGCAGAATCATTGTGTACAGAGCTATTAAAAGATTTTTCTTGTCTTTACATATTCCTTCAAGGAAGTTTGTCTGCACAGAATGACAATTAACTCATCTTGGAATGACTTATGGGGACAGAATCAAATCATTCCTTGTGTCACAGAAAATGTTAAGATCTCAGCTAGGCTGATATTTACTTCACAATAATTACCACACTAATTGTAACTACTGTAAATATTAAAATTGTTTGCACATTAGAATTAAAATTGATCATGCATAGAAAATGATCTCCGGTAGCTGCCCCCCTTGTACACCAGTACCGTTAGTGCTCTCCGACGAGCACTGAAATGTAAAAGTTGCACAGCCGCATGCCACATCGGTGAGACCTTCTTGTCCAAAGAAGCTAAGCTCGGTGCCATCAAGAATCGCATTGGCTGTATAGGTAATACGAGGCTCTACCTGAATGGGATGCTCAAACATAATTGGGAAAGTTTTATTGGAACCGTCGGATACAAATCTTGTGTTCATTGAACTTAATGTTTTCTTGTTACGCTTTAATTCAATACGTACTGCATAGCATGCTCCATTAGTGCTAGAGCCGTAAAGACCAAACCCCGCTATAAAAATACGTCTGTCAACTGAGAACTGAATACTGTCGCATCTACCACGGTACCGCCATTGATTACTACGATAGGCAGAAGACTGAAATCTATGAACGGAGCAGGTCTGTAAACCCTTACGTGATGTCACCGGAAACTCTAGATTTGGTTTTTTGTCAGCCGTAAAATACAAGAAAACATCATTCGTCTCTTTTAATGTTAAAATCTGATGGTTGGCTATTTCGTTAGCAAAAGACCTTACTAACATGGTCGGGATGCGGATCAGATATATAGCTTTACCGAGTACCTTCCTCAAGTTAGGTGGCGTGGCGATCAGCTCCTGACGTTTACACTCAGCTTTTGCCCAACGAACCGCTGCATGAAATAGAGCAACCTCTTTTACATTGAGTGTTTCTCGCGAAAGAATACATTGAAGAGTTTTAAAATCTATGTCCACGAAACTGTCTGCCCGAAGAGCGACCTCGGTCTGAGCGTCGATAACTTCCCAGCATTGTTGCATAAGCTGTTCTTCATCAAAAAGATGACTCTGGCTTAACAGGAAACAGGCATTTCGGGCAGTGAGGTTTGTCTCAAGGAAATTCACACACTCGGTCGCTAAATGAGGTAGGAAGTATTTCTTAGCTGCATATAGAGTAGACAAGACATTGTCTGCGTTAACATCAACCTCATCACAATACAGGTATCTGCCAAAAAATTTAAAAAAATGCATTTTTTGATTGAAGAATAAAAGAATGATTAGTGTATTAGATTGAGAATAACAGAATGAATAGTGTATTAAATTGAAGAATAAAAGAATGATTAGTGTATTAGATTAAAGAATAACAGAATGATTTTATTAATTTCAGTGCAAGTGCAGTGCCTTTAGGATTGTAAATTTATTTTCTCCTCAGGTTATGAGAAGACTTTTTGAAACAACTAAATTTTATTGGAGTGGATTTGTAGCTTTATGGTTAAGATGTTTCCATGACATCCTAGAGGCCTGGTCAACTAAAAATAATTCCACTCCCTAAGACAAGATTTTTTATACCTTGTTTGGCGGTTCCTATTTTTAAGAGATCTTCAGAGAATGGAAAAAATGATCTTATTTAGCAAACTGGTTTTAACAAAAGCATAAACAATTTATTCTTATTCAAATAATTATCGGTGGTCGTCTGTTTGCAAAACAAAGGTATACATTCCTATATTATTATTATTCATTATTATAAATTTTAACGTTCAGTGTAAGTATGGTCTATAATTTTTATGTACTGAACTGTAGTAAAAAGGAGTAATGACCAGAAACATAATACAGTAAGGTTTGCCTCCAATGAAGGACCATTTTGGGACTAGCAGCTTTGGTATACTGTAATATGAAAGACATTTGTTAATTTGGGACCACAGAAATGTGGTCTTTAATTGGTGGTGGTAGTTTTAATTGGCGGAGCCTTTAATTAGAGGGAGACCTTTAATTTAATATTATGTTAAAGTATCTTGTAGAAAGTTGCATACCTCAACATAGCATAAAATGCCACCGGTTCTACATCAGGAATTACAATTTCTGACGTATTCTCCGTAAGTTCACCATAAAACATGGCATAAAAAACTGAGCTTCCGGTGCACAACACATACTTATGGGCTGGAATTCTGTATGCCTGGTTCTTTGGGCCCACTAGGAACATAACATCACTCATCAATTTGTTATCATACATCAAGGAATTTCTGCCCCGTACACTGGTGGTGCTAGCCTGCCAGTTCACCCCAGCAACAACTTTTACAGGAGGGGGAAGTTTTTTAGCCGGCTTGCTTTTGGATATTGCATCCTTCTGTTGTGCCGGTTCTGTGACGTCTTCCATCGGTTCTTGAATCACATGTTGCTGAAACTCCTGGACGTACACGACGGGTGAATTGTCTGCTCCGCCGGAGGGTGGCATTTGCTCCATTTTTATCATTTGGTAGCTTGATGACTATGACTCTGGAAATAAAGATAAAACTAAGGTTGATGTTTGAATTTCTGTTTGTATTCATGATACCCATCAATAAGTACAGCAGCTCATTTTACAAAAAACGAAAGTATTTTACCCATTCTTTTCTATTATTCATATTAACAATTTGAAGAATTTAATTTTTTTTTGTACTGTAAAGTGTAACAGAAACAAAATAATATGGTACTGGTAGGGACTGTAGAGGTGCAGGCTACTGTTCAATAAGTTTAAGCCTAGTCGTGAATGTTACTACTAGAAAGCTGTAGAAAATTACATCTATTCTAGGCCTACCCTGGCCTCACTACCAACCTGAAATTTTAATCAACTTTTGTGAGCTTTACTCCTTCACGCAACGATCAGCTTGAGCATTCATTTAACGCTTATGCTATAATAAGCCCGGCCTACTTGGGAGAGTTTACTTAGAGTTAAATATTACGGAAACTGATAATAAAAGGAAGGATGTTTAGTTATTCCTTAAATCCGGTTGTGTAGGCTAGTCTATGTTGTGTGGTTTATTTGATTGACAGTGATAGACTCCGTATTATTATTGTCTAGCCTAGCTACTCTAAAAAAAAGGTAGATTATAGCCTGCGAAATCAGTTGATCGACAAAAAAACGTACAGTATATATGCACTCGACCAAAACTTCCTAAGCCTCTACCACCCACAACGGCCAATCGCTGGCCTACGATGCTGTGGCCTCATCTCGGCGCAGCCAACATAATGTGCATACAGTACTAATGTTCTCCCGTTGTTCCTTGTTGAAGTTTGGGCCTTGGAATTGTTGCGGTTTTAAAACCAATATTGTGTTGTTTTAACTAACCTTATTGTGTGTAGAAGCTAAAATTATTGTAGACCATTAATTACTTGAACAAATGTGTTATCAGCTTCGTGAATGCTTTACGAGAAAAAGAACAATTTCGGGATTATTTAGATTAAAAACTATCGCCAAAAAACGCCATGTTTATTTATACTGTACTTCCGATATCGTTTTCGCTTTTCATATCGCGATCGCGTCGACGCAAAGCAGATGATGCACTCTGGTTCCCGAAGGTCTTCCACAAACTAAAATACTGACTCGTGTGAATATTAATTACAGGATGATTATAATTATAGTTAATATGATTTTTATTTAAGACAGACATTATAAGCATTGTTTATTTACTTTTTACTTTTGTATAGATATTTATACAATGCCTTTATCATGGGGTTAATGAACTCATTTTTAAACACTTAAGGATAAATATGGAGGGAAAAAAATATGAATCTATCGATTTAGTTTATGTTTGATTATGTTGATGCTACTGTTTCTACAGTATTGATTGTATTGAAAGCAATGGCGTAGGCTGGGGTTAAGGTTGCAGACACCCTCCTTCCCCCTATGACGGCAATTTAGTTTCACTAAGTGGGTTATACTACAAAATATGACCATTAAATTTTCATTGGAGCCCGGCGATTTAGTTTCACATTCTGAATTTTCACAACCCAAGCCTTTTCCCACCACCCCAGACCAAAGCAAGCTGCCCCCCCCCCAAGTCTTCCCCTGGTTATAACAATACTGTAATATACTCATTGAACAGAATTCCACAATCCTGGATTTTTTTTTTTTTTTTTCCAGATCCATGTCTCTATATAGCAAGATTTGCGCACAAGTTAGAATTTGGTGAGAAGACCCATGATGTTTCCATGACAGCCTTACGCCTTGTATCTAGAATGAAGAGAGATTGGATGCATACAGGGAGGAGACCCTCTGGTCTTTGTGGGGCAGGTTAGTGCGTTTATGTTAATTCATCCTGCAAGGGGTCGTTAATGTCCATATACGCAGGTTAGCATTTGTTCATTCAGACCAACACATCTAGGGTTTCCATGGACTTTAGCAGCTTTGGTCTCTAATTAGAAAGATTAAGGTAAAAGATGCGACCACAGAAAAATGGTCTTTAATTGGAGGTGGTTTTTAATTGTAGGGGTCTTTAATTTGACCTGTATAAAGAAACAGACATAGTATAGAAACATGTACAATGTTGGGATGATTAAGATGCTTGTGAATTAACAATTTGAAATGATGCTATTAATATTTGCTAATTTATACACAAAAATGTCTTGGTACACTAAAATCTGAAGAGTATTTTTTTTTTAACTTCTATTGTTGGGCTTTAAGCTAAAGCTTATTTTCCCGAGGGTATTGTCTTCTGGTGTACTGACCAAATCACTTCCCTTCTTGTCTGTGTATTTCTATGATGGTTATTAATGAGATTTCCATTTACATGCGGGACAGTGATACATTTCTTATATACAATACAGCTTGGCATTTTGATATTGTTGTGACAATACAGAGAATTTGATGGATATTTTGTAATTTTAAAAAATTGTGCTCTACCCTAGTAAAAAATCATTTTTAAGTTTAAAATGTAAAAAATTAGTTGATCACAAAAAAATTAATATCAGCTCTGCTGGAAGTGTGACCCAATTAAAATTTGTTAAAAAATAAAATTAATTAATTTTAAGTTATTTTATGCTTTTTGTTTTAGCACTCCTTGTGTCTGCACGCTTGCATGATTTTAACAGGACACAAAAAGAAATTATAAAGGTTGTTAAAGTGTGCGACGCAACTCTTCGTAAACGGTAAGGATTGGACGAAATTAATTTTATTTCAAATATATTAAATTTTATTTAAGTACTGTACATCTACTGAGAATTGTCAATAGATTAAACATACTGAGCCGAGTCTGGAAATTTGGAGAAAAGAAATTTGAGTAAACCATGCTTTGTGTGCAGCAGCTATACAAGCCATCGTAAGGCTCTATTACACTTTTAAATTTGATGTGACAAATGCAGGCGCGTACACACCCCAACCCCCAAATTACCAAAGGTCCACATTTTCTGAGGTAGAATACTCAAAAATCACTCCCCCCCCCCTCCCTAATTTGTAAAAATTATTTTAAAAAAGATAATAAGTTTATATTCAAATTTAAGTGAGTGTGCCATCTCCGGCCATCTAGAGGTGCAATAATTATAAATTTTCTTACATCAGCCCCAACCATGGTGGGCCTGAGGTGTTATGGACCCTCAATCTGTGAAAGTTCTTCCCTTTCCCCCTCTATATCTAATTCTTAGATCTACCACTGTCAGTGGGGGATTCAAGAAGCCCAGTTCCCCCCTCAATATTTCAAAATTTAAGAAAAATTCGGGAAACAAGAAAATGATATCCAAATTGTATGAGAGTACAATTTCCGGCCATTTGGAGGTGCCATAATCATAAATTTTCCTCCGTCTGTGAAAGTTCTTACTTGGGCCCTCTTCAAATTTCTAGATCCGCCACTGGAAACCATACATGCATCTTCAGAAATCGATTGAATAAGACCTCAAATTATCGAAAATTCCTGAGCTCGCCACCTCGATCTTGGCATGGTTCCCTCCCCCCCAGGAAGCCATTTTGGTCCACTCTCTCCAAATTCGCACCCACCCAATAATGATCCTGTGTAAGGGCCTGAAATGGATGTGATATGTCCATATTTGGGTGTAGTATGACATGATTATTCTCATTAAGCTCTGTCCATACTATCAAATTTTATGTGACAAATAAATGTGAAATGCCCATATTTTGGTGTAATAGGACATAATTATACCCATATTTGGGCACATCACACACATTTGTCACATCAAATTTTATAGTGTGGACAGTGTTTAAAGGTCCCATCACACAAATTTGTCACATAAAAATAATATTTGATAGTGTGGACAAAGCTTTAGACATTGTGTAATTTTAAATAATTCCAGATTAACCGAGTTTGAGGAAACACCGTCAGGAAAACTGACGATTGAAGAGTTCAACAGGATTGACCTCGAGGAGGAGCAGGATCCTCCCTCCTTCAGACAGGCTCGGAGGAAGGCAAAGTTACATCAGGTATTTAACGTCTGCAACCCACCTATATAGTTATTCCCCTTCCCCTACCCTCCTATGGTAGGTGTTGTAACCCTATCCCAACCTACTTAGTGTACAAAAGGTTTTCCCCTACTACAACCTGCTGTAGAGTTTGTGTTAATCTTCTACCCAATCAATTAATGGAGTCTACAGTCAATTGCGGCATATAAGTGTTGCGGTGATAAGACAGCGTATGTATTTATATTGTATAATGCGTGTATGGAACATTACACACTCACTCCATTACTGCAAACCAAATTTAGAATCAATCGCTTGGTCAGTGCCTTTTACTCGAGTCAAGTAGAATGGAATTGCTCAAACGGGGCCATTAAAGACCATATTGGTTATGAGACCACATATGTGTTAAATAACCAAGCACCAACCCAGGAGAGGCCTGGCCCAGCTATCGGAGGCCCATGGTAAAATTTGTGGTGGACAAAGCGGTGGGTGTGTGGACTCTGGCTAATATGTCGGGGAATGATGAACCATCTGTTGGGGAAAAGCTGGCACCACCCCTGCACCAACCTCTGCCCAAAACAGTACTATAGGTACTGTATCCTCCTCCCTTACCAATCTACCGTACAGTAGGTACTAACTCCCATCTCAACCCACCCACTGCAGGTATTTCCCCTATACTGTAATACCTTAACCGACTAACAGTAAGTATTTTTCAACTCTAACTCACCTGTTAAAAAATGTATTTCCCCATCCCAGTC